CTCTGATACCTCTATTTCCACAAAAGTAAAAGCCTATTTAAACTGCAGTGTCTCTGTATGCTGGTTTGTGTGTTCTCCAACTCTTCGCTGAACTACTCGCTCTCCCAACTGGGAGCTTACCTAATAATGTTGGTTGTAATTATGATTGCAACTTCAAAGAAAAAGAGAAGGACCAAGACAGCACATCTCTTCCAGTGATAGGATTCAAAAACTTTTACTACCGGCTCTGTGGGCGTGGCTTTGTGGGTGTGGCAGGGAAAGGATACTGCAAAATCCCTATTCCCTCCTCACTTCTGGGGGAAGGTTACTGCAAAATCCCCACTCCACTAACCTGCTTTCCAGCTTCATTCTCCTGTTGAGGGCAACAAAAGATCAGCTGGGAGGCAGCAGAGGTGGGGCCAGCCTATTTGCCAGTTCTCCAAACTACTCAAAATTTCTGCTACCGGTTCTCCAGAACCTGTCAGAACTGGCTGAATACATCTCTGATCTCTTCCTGCTTCATGTCAGAAGCAGCAATACTGTTAAGAGTTCTCCACTTTTTCTGAGTTTTTCATTTATGGAGTAATATTAATAGCAAATAATCCAACAAATTACCTACAAATGTATTGCTCTGCATTTTGTTACCAACCTATTAAATGTAGTTACATGGGCAACGTGGAACAACGTTCTTCAAGAGATTTGGATGCCCCAACCCTGGTGACCTTCTACAAGGCTCTAAAAACCTGGTTCTCCTCAAACTCAGGTCAGTGTGGGATGATCCCATTCACAAGTGAAAAAGTGGAAGATATGATGATTAGCCTTGGTTATTTTATTTTCTGTTGTGGGTGTTTGCCTTGGTTTTTTTAATATGATTGGTTGCACAGTCAGCCAGACATTTAGACAGCATCAGGCATTTTTATCCATCTACCCAAAGGACATGGGATAGGTAAATGTTGAGTTGTCTCATACTATTCCCAGAACTGCACGCATTCTTCTTTGTCAGGTGTTGGCTGGCTCTCTGCATCCTCCCCATTGATGGATTGGTAGAAATGATTGTGATTCAACTAAAAGCGGAAATATTGCCTACAACGTGCAATTTGAGCTTTGTATCTGCTGATCTTGGCTACGGTTGTTATTTTTAGGTTCCTTACAGTCAAGGTTGCCTTAATCTTCCTTGTTTCAAAGTAATATTTCCTGATCAAGGATTCTTTGACATTCTTGTTCTTCAACATCTTTCATCTGTTCTAGCCTGCTTTCATCTGATCTCAACAGGCTGTTCTTATTTTGCAACCTGATCTATCATTTTGGTGGTGCACTGTTTAGCTTTTTTCATTTGTTGATTTTGTATCCAAGATATTTAGTTATTACTGCAGCCCTGCTATACCTTAGATAGTTTGTTTCTTGGAGTGAACTTTTGCTTATATTTTCTTTACATATTATATTCTCTCTATCTGTCTCTCTATCTCTGTCTCTCTTCTATGTCAAGGGACAGAACATATCTGATAATCCCATTTTCCCCACAACGACCATATGAAGTGGGTTTGGTTGAGAAAATGTGATTGGCCCAAAGTCACCTAGCCCACTTTCATGTCTATAACTCATAGCCCCTTGCTTTCTCACCCAGCACCTTACTTACTACATTAACCTGATTTTAGTTTTGTTCCTTTGTTTTTATGTTTCTAACCACCTGTAAGCTGTCTAGGGTTATTTCTGTAAGATAGGCAACCGCTTAAATAACTGTAATGGGGAAAGCAGAAAACACTATCTAGAATGAAGCTAATAAAAAAGGATTTTCTATGAATACACATCCCCTGTGCTTTAAAATGAGATGCTACCTCTATTACTGAAAAAAGCAAACACATAGCACTGCTTGAAACCTACAGTATTTCAGGAAGATGAAGCAATAAATCAACATTGTTTTACTTCAAATCTTATTTGCTTTTAGTTAGAAACATTATTTGCTTCGGGGTTATAGGTGAGAGATAACACAAGACTCCGAAGATAAATATATTATATTGGCATGGGTTCACATGATAATTTTAGATAAATAATTAACTGCAAAGTGGTTCTTGTTTGTATTACGTGCCTGAAATGATTGTTAAATGATATCAAATCTTCAGTTTCCAAGGGCATAAAGAAAAAAAAAACAAAGAACACAAAATAGTTGCTTAATTAATATATTTAAGGCCGATTTATTTATATTCTTGATGCATTTCAAGCAGTAATATTTTTTCAAGATAATACTCTAAAATAGTGTTTTCTAACTTTGGTAACTTTAAGGTAGAAAGCCACTTTGGTGAAATTGTTAGGTGAAATTGTTAAGGCATCAGGCTAGAAACTGGGAAATTGTGAGTTCTAGTCTAACTTTAGGCAAAAAGGCAGCTAGATGACACTGTGTCCTAGGAAGGAAGCAATAACAAACCACTCCTGAAAAACCTTGTCAAGAAAACTACAAGGAGTTGTTCAGGCAATCTCAGAGAACTGGACACGAGTGAACCGAAGGGGGGGAAAAACATTCAAGATGTTTGGATTTCAATTTCCCCAAGAAAACTGGGAATTGAAATCCACACAAAAGCTATCAATATTGAAAAAAACACTGCTCTAAAATGTAAATTGAGCAAAAAGCCTATTTCATATGCTACCTCAGTGTTTCTCAAACTTGGCAACCTTGAGATTTCAAGTCCCAGAATGCTTTGCTTGCCTACAGTGATTTTGATTCTTATTGTGTGTGTATGTGTGGTTCAAATTTACTTTCTCCAATGGAAACATCTGCGCTGTTACTCACCTGGCTGTGTACATTTTGCACACAAAACACTTTTTAGTCCATAGCCAATGTTTTTTTGTTAACAAGGGGTAGAGGCTTCTGTCTAGGCAGTCATCTCGATGAATAAGCCTTGTCAGATAAAAGATTGAGAAAGGAATTGATTAGTCTACACTAGTACAATGAAGTGGGACGTGGTGGCTCAGTGGCTAAAACACTGAGCTTGTCGATCAGAAAGGTTAGCAGTTCGGCCATTCGAATCCCTAGTGCCACATAACAGAGTGAGCTCCCATTATTTGTTAGCTTTTGCCAACCTAGCAGTTCGAAAGCATGTAAAACTGCAAGTAGAAAAATAGGGACCACTTTGGTGGGAAGGTAACAGCGTTCCGTGCTCTTCGGCATTTAGTCATGCCGGCCACATGACCACGGAGATGTCTTCAGACAGTGATGGCTCTTCAGCTTTGAAATAGAGATGAGCACCGTCTCTTAGAGCTGGGAACGACTAGCACATATGTGCGAGGGGAACCTTTACCTTAGTACAATGAGAGGGAAAGAGAGTCAGGCACCTTTATACAATTGATAGTATTTGTTTCAAGGCAACCAAGGCTGCAGAATAAGCATACACCTATCATTTAGAGAAAGCCAATGCCCAAACAAAGGAGCAAGGGTGAATAGAAGGGAAGCAGGAACTAAGAATCTGAATTCTCTTTAAATACCTTTCCACACGCAAATCAGCCTGTATGAATCAAACAAGAATGGTGGGATGATTGGGGAGGAGATGAAAAGGTAATGGATCCCCAGAACACCAGCAGAGAAAGCATAATTATAGGTAATAACCCCTTTTGCAATGCTAGCACATGAAGAATGGAAACACAAAGAATCTCAAATTCCAAGAAACAAGGGTCTTACCTGATATCTGTGATAATAACAATGTGCTCACAATCTCCTTGGTGACAATAAAGGTATGGGAAACCTATTTTTATGTTCAAATCATTAAAGGTATAGTCTTCCATTTTAGTGGCATAAAGATTTCCATAACCTCGGTCACGGGATTCTGACCATTCAATAATTGTCCTGAAATTAGCAGAGACAATATTTTCATTCTCTAAATTGATGATAGGTAGCCCTCGACTTACAACCACAACCGAGCCCAAAATTTTGTTGCTAAGTAAGCTTTGCCCCTTTTTATGACTTTTGTGCCATGGTTCTTAAACAAATCACTGCAGTTGTTAAGGGGATCCTTTGGTCATGAAGCAAATCTGACTTCCCCCATTGATTTTGTTTGTCGGAAGCTGGCTGGGAAGGTTACAGATGGTGATCACATGACCCCAGGTCAGTGCGATGGTAACAAATACATGCCAGTGCTAGGTGCCCATATTTTGATCATGTGACCATGGGGATGCTGCAGCGCTCCTGAAGTCTGAAAATGGCTATATGTAACTTCAAACAGTCACTATACAAATGGTTGTAATTTGAGGACTACCATTATTTTTGCTAGAGCAATTATCAAAGAGGGAAAAAAAATCAATAAACCAGGTGTCCAAGCTAGAATAGAAAACGTGTTCCTCACAACCAAAAAAAAAAAAACATTTTGTTTCAACATGCTGGACAACATTCAAATTAAGTCCTAGAGCAGGGGTATCAAACTCGATTTCACTGAGGGCCGCATCATGGTTGTGTTTGACCTCAGGGTTGCCGGGGGAGGGGGGCATGGCCGGGCCCGTGTGGGTGTGGTCCTCTGCCAGCAAAAATGAAACTTGGGGGGACCATGCGTGCCCCCTCCCCAGCTCCGTTTTTGCTGGCAGAGGGCCGCAGGAGGCCGTCCCAGCCAAAAATGAAGCCTGGGAGGGCTGCACGCAACCCTGCCAAGCTCCATTTTCATTGGCAGAGGCACTGTGGGCCAGTCCTTCGCTGTTTTCAGGGCACCCCCGCAGGCCAGATTTAAGTACTCCTTGAGTTTGACATCCCTGCCCTAGAGCATGATCCATGGGGACTACAAACAGATCAGGTAGAAAATACATGATACAATTACATTGTTAATACTGCTGCCTTAAGAGGAGAAGTAACATGATCAGACATAACTTGTACAAAGGATAGTGGGACCTCCATAATTTTAATAAGAGGCAACCTATTCAAGGGTCAGGAGGCAACTTCTAATGCATTTAGACATGCAGCAAATTCCAACTGGAAGACTAACAGTGATAATTCTCAGAACTCCTGGATATCACACCAATATTTGGAAACCAAAGGCTGAGAACCAGAACTAGAAATTCTTTTGGAGAAAAAATAAAGCATGCACTGCAGAGCATTTGGACAATCAAATCAATGGGCAAAAGAGCAATGCTTAATCCATCTGCTTCCAAATTTTGCTCTGCAATCCAAGTCCCATCATTTTAAAAGCCCTGTCTTCAGAGTTCAAAAGATCTTGAAAATCAAGAGATCTTGGTTAGTAGAAGGCAAGAGTTTTCTCCTATTAACTGTCCTTTTTGTCTACCCTTTAAGTTTATCTGTCATCTACTAAGTCCTGATCAAGAAGCAAACTGTCATGGAAATATATATCTTCTTAAATCAGTAAATTCAACCATATACCATATTTTTCAGAGTATAAGACACACTTCCCCCCCCCCCAAAAAGTTGGTGAAAATTTAGGTGCTTATAGTCTTGTTTTGGCCTCCTGTATCTTCCGTACATTGCACAGCCCCCAAAGCACCCTGCAGTGCTCCGTATGGCCTGTTTTTGTCAAAACGGGCCCATTTTTTTGGCTCCCAACCCTCTGCACATCGTGTTTTCGTCATCCCTGGCTCCCAGAAGCATTCTACAGTACTTCACATGGCCCATTTTCACCAAAAACATTTTTGGCAAAATTGGGCTGTGTGAAGCACTGCAGATTGCTTCTGGGGATCTGGGAGGGTGAAAACGTGATGCTTAGAGGGCTTGGGAGCCCAAAAATGAGCCATTTTTGGCAAAAATAGGCCGTGCAGAGTACTGCAGAGTGCTTCTGAAGGCTGGGGAGGGCAAAAACAGGTCCCTTTTTGATGCAAACGGGCCATGTGTAAGACTGCAGAGTGCTTCTAGGAGCTGGGGAGGGCAAAAACACGATGGGCAGAGGCCGAAAACTATTTTTTTTAATTTCCTCCTGTAAATTTAGTTATGTCTTATAGTCCGGTGTGTCTTATAGTCAGAAAAACACGGTAGTTGCAACTAACTTGATGGAGAGGCAGTCTAGGTTAGTAAGACTAGGGTTCACAAATGTCAATTATTCTTTACCTGCTCAAATCTCTGCATTCAGCATACCTGCTATCATTATAAAAAACACCTTCAAAGTAAAAGAAGGCAGACTTGTAGAGATCCTGGGGGAAAGGAAGAAAGATGAGGAAAAAAATAGTTTGCTAATTAGAATACACAGAATTACATATATGGATGATTATCACATCTTCTTCAGCTCCAGTTAAATTTTTGAAATGCCAACCTAACTCATCATTACATCACATTATTGTGTCCAGTAGCCAGGTTTTTAGCAATAGATTGATGCATTTTAAGAAAAAAAAACCAAGACTCTATGGAAGCATTTACATAGTCTAGTCCTTTCCTTAAAATGCATCAAGATAAATGTGGGTTGCACTCTATGGGCCAGAAAAAGGGGGCTGCAAGACTAGATGGAGATGGAGTCTTTCTTGCTCTTAACCACTACTTGCCTTCTAGGAATCTTTGATCCAGTCTTGAGTGGAAAAATATTTGCTTCTAATAGATGGGTCTCCTTTTGACCTGACCCTTACAACTGTCAAACCCCCTTCAAAGTGTCAGGCCCCAAGAACCAAGAAAGACACATGGAGTTCCTGCTGAGTAGTTTCCTTCATTGTTCCTGATCTATAGGCAGAAATCTTGCCAAACTAAAGCAACCATTCGCATCACTATAAATCAGACCTGGGCATTTTACAGCTTGTGAGCCACATCTGCTCAGTGGGCGGCCCATGTCTAGCCTGCAGCATCATCAGTGCAGTGTGGCAATGTTGGAAGGTGGGATGTCAGCACAGCAGCGACAGGGGGTGGGGCAGCAGTAGTGCAGGTGGCAGAATGGCGACAGCCATCCCCAAGAGTCACACTTGTTCATGTGGCCCGTTGGTAAAATCAATTGCCCACTCCTGCTATAAATATACTCTGGGAATCCCTAGGGAGGAGAGTTTTTAACTCTTGTTCTCTCAACCAAACTTTCCAAATTTTGCTGCCTCTTTGTCCTCTCGAATGCAGCCCCTCCCTGCTGGAATCCAGACTACATTCCACCACAAAAGTGATTCAGACAGATTTCCTGCTACACAACAAGAAAACAGCAGCATGTCGTCCTGCTTTTATAGAAAACCAGGAGTTGGCACATCAACTCCTCAAAAACCACCTTCCAAGCATATCATCTTAAGAGTACTCTATACATTTCAAATCTAGCAATATTGTTTTTAATTCAACAAAATTATGATTAATACTTTTCTGTAAAAATAAGTGTTATATTAAAGAAATATGAAGTTTTATATTAAAGTTTTATATTAAAGAAATGTAAATTTTAAAATACTATCAATACAAAAACATGCATAGGGTTTTTTTAAAGAAAAATTGTTCCTTTACAAAAATTCCTCAGAGGAAACAAGGATCAAGTCGACCTGATAGCACAGAGACTTTATTTCCTTCCCTTTTTCTCCTGTCTTAGATATCCATCAGCCTTTTTCCGTGTCATTTTAATTTATCATCATGGCTGAATGCTTAGGGTTTTTTTTACATTTTTAATTTTTGTGGCACTTTTCTGAGAATTCCAGATATTAAGCAATCCAAAAGTATAATTCATAAATCAATCAGAAAAATAAAAAGGCTGACTTAAAAATAGAAAAAGCCCCATTCAGTTCCTACTTACATTAAATTCACCTACTTATTACTTGTCAAATGAAGAAAACACTTCATTTGTTTTTCCCCAGGAATTGATAAACATACAAGGGATCAATAATTCAAACTTTAAGAAACTGTTTTGAAATTAAAATTTCTTTTTTGGAAAGGCTTTAGAAATCAATATTATGCTACCTTGCTGATATTTTCTGGGGCCTGAGCAGGATTATTGCTGAACTCGCCACCAATCTGAAGGTCACTAACACAAGAAATGCAATCTCGAAGCTCAGTAAGTTTTTGGCTCCCGAGGACCAACAGTGTCTGATACGGCTTCCGAAGCTTATGCTGTAAAATAGAGAGGGCAAAACAAGATCAATCAAAACATTTCTGAACAGGCAGAATTTACACATCAGGTTATTTCATAGTGTAGTTCTGGTTTAGTAAGTTGAAACCAGCCAATCAGCCCGTTGCAAGGAATATAACCAGTCAACTCTATCATTACTTCTCCATATCTAAATGTGATGGCTAACCTTTTCCAGACGAAGAGCTAAAAGCGCAAACGCGCCCAAACCCCCAAAATGCAACACATGTCCCCTGCGCATGCACCGTGCCCCCATGCATGTGTACATGACCCACACACACACAGCACCCCTGTGCATACACATGTGACGCCACGTATGTGCCCTACTATGCATGCATGTGTAACACCCCCACACGCACCATGCGCAGCAGACCCGAAGGCCAGCTCGCCGGCAGGGGGTGCAGACGCATGCACACCGGAGCTGAACTGGGGCAACGGCTCGGGTGCCATCAGAGAGGGCGCTGTGTGCCACCTCTGGCATGCATGCCATAGGTTAACCATCACAGCCTTAGACTGTTTCGTCCAAGAAACCAAGAGTAAATATCATCCATATTGGAAAATTACAACATATGAGGTTTGTATCATGAAGGCTACCAGATCTGAACTCTCCAAATCTAGGGAATGTCTTTGTGGCTGTCTAGCAGTAATCTGAATTTTTGCAATCCAAATCTAGTAACATTAATGAGAAATACATTTAGGTGCAAACAACACAAACTTTACATATTGTTCTTCATTTGGCTTTAGCTAAGCATATTCTATTCAACTGTAATTGTATTCAACAATGCCTAGCGTTAAATAAACTCTAGCTTAGTGTGATATGTGATCTAGTCACAGAATTCGATCATTAGTGCAGACATTTCAATAGGGTCCCTGTATTGATTGGCAAGTAAGAGTCCCTTTGACCTCAAATGGCAAAAAAAAACCAGACCAAGCAGAAAACATCCTGCAGCCAAGAAGGCTACACACCCATTTGCACTCCTCAGGTGACCCTAAGAACACAAATAAATCTCCAAATGGCCTCAATGACTCTCTAAAAGAATGCAGATGACCAGCTGTCCCCACAATCTAGTCAGAGCTGAAGAAGTTTCTTGGATGAAAGAAAAACAAGAAAGTCCAGTTGCCTCCTGAAAAAGCACCTTTGGTTCACCTTCTATGGCAATTCTGGAAGGATTAGCACATTCCCTAATTAAGTGGGATCCAGCCAAAGCTGGAATTACTTTTCTTTAAAATAAAGGGCACCTTGTGTTTTGAAATCTTTCTGCAGAAAAGTAGATTCTACTTTGTCATGTTGCCAAAGGACCACACACCAGCAGGCTATGATTCCTCACACAAGATTCCGGAGAATAAATTGATCTATTTGTTAAGAAGCCATTAAAATAGATGCTAAGCTCAATTACCAACCTTTTGAAATATAACTGGATAAAAAATGTTGAGAGTTAACACAAGTTCAGCTTCGTCAATCATATTCCCAGGATCTTTGGGCCTTTTTCCAATTGCATGAGATTCCTAGGGGGGAAAATACATTGGAATGTGAGTCAGATGCTTCAGATAATAGAGATCAAAACACCTGCATAGATATTCTATCTGCCGTTACCAATCTTCCAAGTATGTTGGGAAAGCAGGACAAATCTATTTGAAGTAGAACTTGATCAAGTAATGTGAATGATAAAAGTCATCTTAATGGAACGATTCCAATGTTTGTTGCATGCTAGTTAAACAAGTGAAAGGGTGCAGCACTTACTTCCCACACAATCCTCAGTCAAATTCCTAGGCTATGGACTGCCAATTAAATTGCCAAAATGTCACACTTGGTTTCCAGTAAGACACAAGGTTAAGATGTGTCATGCCACTTCCATCAAATGACACCCTTTGACAGTTATTGGGGCAGAGCTTTCTTGAGATTAGAATGTAAAATCCAAAATTCTGTAATTATTATGTAGTTGGAATAACTTCAATATATGATATATGAGACTAAAACATATGAAGAATGGTTGCAGGAACTGGGTATGTCTAGTTTAATGAAAAGAAGGACTAGGGGAGACATGATAGCAGTGTTCCAATA